CCACCACACACACACACACACACACACACACACAAAGTCGCAGCATTTGCATATTCTTTGTGATAGATTGAGCTCCCAAAATGCAGCAGTAACACATTAATCACAACACTCTTCTGGATGACGGCGTAAGTCTTTGTCACAGATTTACAGGAACCTGCTTTAGTCGGGTAGATAAATGTGTGGTGGCAGATTTGTCCCATGCTGCTCGACGACAAGGCCGTCTTCCACTTTGACCTAATCTACGCAAACAGCTGTAACAGAGCGGCGGCTGATGAAATCTCCGTCACGGCAGCCGCGAGCGAATCGCCGCCAAGTGACAGCAGCTGACAGCTGAAACCCACAGAGGTTCAGGTGAGGATGGAGGTGCTGGAGGCATCATGGAAACCAGTGACCTACAAAATACCAGCAGCTCTCCGGCACACAGTTGCATTTTGATCATTACTAAATATGCACATATATCTGCATACTGTGTAAATAAACTTTTGCATTTGATGTTGTCATATATACTGTCATAAACAGCTGCGGAAAAAACTGAGACAACAACATTTTCAGTTTCACTCATTTCTCAATTTATGGGTATGAACCCGTGTAAAATACCTGCTATGAACTGTACTAGCAGTGCACCACTTAATGTTTCCTATTCTATTTGAAGGTCACTTGAGGTCATCCTCTAATTCATGAGGCACTGCTGGATAAGTTGACAGTCATCTATGCCATTAGAAAGCTGCTTCTGCCCTCTACCTGACTGGTCTTTGGTCACTCCCAGTGTCTCCTGCTTCCCTTGTTCTTGTGTACTGCTGTCTTACAAACTGAGCCTGGAAGCAGCCTCTGCCTCGCAGTGTAACCTTCTGCCAGCAGAACCAGGATTAAGCCAGGATTTAAAAATGCAGATTGTTTTTTAAATATAGTGGTCTCTTAATTTTCTCCAGAGCTGTATGCTGTCAAATAGACCACGAGTAATGAAAAGCCAAATTAACCTGTGTATTTGTGATGTCATTAGTTGTGATCTCGTCTTAACAGTAACAAACTACCTGCATATTAATTGTGCCATAGTATATAAATCATGCAGTATAAATGACACAAGCGGCAGCCCACATGGCCTGGGGATAAGGAGGAAGCTCATAGCTGACAGCAAGGTGGACGTGTGGACTTTTGGAAGGTGAACATTGACTGAGCTGCCGCCCATGAGGAGGGAGTGTGAGGAAGGGGGAGGGTCTGAGTCTTTTACAGGAACCCTTTGTCTGTTACCGTGGTAACATGGACACGTGGAGAACGATCGATCGAAATGAGAATACATCCGTTTAGGTTCCCCTGAAAAGCACGGTGGGCAAGGCCAACCTGTAGTAATGTAGAATATAACCTCTAATGAATGGAGAGGGTGCACAAGACACTTGGGGACCCGGTAGAAGATTCATTCATCTGCAAGCACCGCGGTGCTAATTATGGAGGCACTTCTTTACTAGTTACTATAGCAATAGCACAGCTCTGAGGCGGTTTTACGCGACTCGGATCTGTGTGGAAAATGACCTCAGCTTCAGCAAACGAGCCCCTGACCTCACCTGACCACAACAGAGAGGGTTGCATTGCATGTGATCGTTGACTGTCTGTATGCAGAGCCAGAATAAGCCTCTGCAGGGAGTTGTTCACCTACAAGGAGAAGCTTCTTCAAGGACAACCTGGGGGCTTCTGCTCCATTTATCCTCTCCCCAGGAGATAGGAATGAGGCTCAATCAGGAGCTAAGGAACAAATGAACTATGTGGCATTGGTCACACAGCCCAGCCACTGGGTGTGGCCACCTGCACTGCATTCTGGGAAAGCATGAAGGAATTGTGTGGTCACTACAATACAGCATGTTACTCAGTGATGGTTTGGGAAAGTCAGGCTATATGTATATTGGGGATGCCTTCACCCACGACCTGCCATGTACCCGCCCCCGTCATCCACACAATGACAAGGCAAATTTACTTTTTAAAAGTGTCCCGTAATAAACATTTTATTCAGTGCATTTCTTGTGTATATGACATAACAAACAGAGAGTCCCGGGCTTAAAACCGGCAAGTTCATCATCCTGATTCAACATGAGTGTTACATGTAGCCAACGTCATGCTATATTCATATTCCCCACTGTCTCCCATGCAACAGATCACAGAAACAAAACAAACAAACATATCAGGAGCCAACCAGAGGCAGCCTCCTGAGAGAGAGAGAGAGAGAGAGAGAGAGAGTGAGAGAGAGCGAGACAGGGAGCAAAAGACATTTTGAGAGAGAGAGAGGGAAGGAAAGAGGGAAAGAGAGAAAGTGAAACTCTGGCCACAGAGACATGTCTGTCTGTGCTTGTGGACATCCTGTGGGAAGCTTGATGTTCATGTTATCACATTTACAAATATGGCAGATCCTATAGAAGGTTAAGCCACCTAAAATTACACTTTGTGACCACAATGAGTTATTAATACCCAAAATATCGCCTTGGGTGGGGATGTCCCCATGTTACCATGGTGAAAAGTCGACCAATAAATTCTCTGGAAAGGGAGCGAGCTGAGCTTGACACATACACTGGATTGGGAATAGACTAAGAGAGGGGGACAGACAAGATGACAAGATCAACACATAAGGAGAACATTTAACATAACAGCACATCCACCAGTTTGCCCTCTAATGCTAAACCAGATTTTCTTGCATACTTTATTTTCAATATATTTTGTTTGATCTCTCAGTTTCCTTTCCTCTGCATCCATTGTTTCAGCCACTTTAAGGAAGGATTCTCTGGTTCTGTCCTTGGTGTGCTCTATGCCATTCTCAATCAGCTGAATGTCGTTGTGTCCCTGATGTTACCCTCAATGTCTAAACATGCCAGGGGTGGCTCTCTGTATTGGCAGTGTTGGGTAAATGTGCTGAATGCTCACTCAGAATGGAGGAGTCAGAGATCAGGCTCCCAAACATCCAGATTAGTGCCACCAAGGCGGTTGAGGAAAAGTTAAAAGAGCAGTTAGTCAGAGAGATGGAGAAACCTTGGAAGGACAGGGAGTTTCTGTTTTACAGGAGCGAGCAACTGGACAAGTCAGCAATTCTTCTTGTGCTTATTTTCTTGCTGTTGCCATTGATTATCTGAGAGACCTGCCACTGGCCATTATCACACGTATCGGCGTTCTGGTCTGCTGTCCTGAACTGCTGTTGACTGGAGAGGGCAGGAGGATCTTCTTGGAAGTAACAGGAATCCGGAGGTGTCTGCAGGATCCGGCGGAGCCGCACGCGCCCTACGTGGATTCGGTCTGGCTCGCCGTCTTGCCGCTGAGCACGCCGGACGCGCTGCGGCTCTTGGTGGGTGTGCCGCTGCCGGAGCGCGAGAACTCGGTCAGGTCGTGGAGGGACGGCTCTCGGTACATGGCCACTGTTGGGGAGACATACCATCAGACACCAACCACTATATACCCATGAGTGAAGCACTCAACCTGAACATCTTTATCAAGAAACCAGAGTAAGAAAGGATGAAACACATAGACGTGACATCCAACAACACAGATTCAGAAACAAAAGCACGTTATCAGTATTATTTGTCTGTAACTATGAGTAATGCCCTCAGCTTTACTCATCAATTAACCAGAGTATAAGATGCTGCATATACACAACAAAACTCATTTAGAAACACAAGTACATTATTAGTCTCATTTACGGCTTAGAGTTTCCCCCAAAGCACATTGGTCTTATATACTTCTGAATACATACAAAGGGTTTAGTATGAAACACCATCAGCCAACTGCAGCTGACAGAAGCCGATTGTCACCTTTCAGAGGTTTGGGCAGGAAGTGGGCAGCAGGCTTGTTCTTCTTCACATGGTTACCCTTCATAATCTCGCCCTCCTTGGTCAGCCCCAGATACCAGCCCCGGCCGGACTGCTGCTGCCGGTAGATCATGGAGGAGTACGTCACGTAGTAGTTCTCAAAAACAGACTCCTTGAACTTGCACTCGGGGGTGAAGTGTTCCTGGAGGGTAGAGAGTAGGTAAGCTAATATTAGCACAAGCCTATGAAAATAGTCACTGGGACGGCGTGAAGGTGATGCTGGGACCAGGAAACCCACAAGAGCACATGAGACTGTGACTCTGCCCAGTTCCGAAGCGGCTGCTTGCCTGTGGTGAAGCTTTATTCAAGTTCATAGTGATTATGGGCAGCATTGCTCAGCTCTAACATTACCGATGTGATGTTTTACCAAACCCTGGCAGTGCCCTTGACTTACTGATGGGGCCAGATTCACATTAAGCTGGGTACTACGGTTATTCATTACTACAATTTTGAATGAGTTGAGTCATCCGGTATCTATAAAATCTAATATGAGATTTTATATTCCTTGTTCTGTGCATATCTATTGGCCTCATATTGGCCAGTCAGCACCAGCCTCAGCAGCCAAAGCCCGCCCATCAGTGATAGGGTGACGTTACGACGACATGATGATGTTAAATAATACATTTTCATTCTAAGTGATTTTGTTTCAAGAATTGGACAACATTAATGGGCCTGTCAGCAACTGGCAATACGCTGTGAATAGGGGAATGATCTGACATGGCTGTGGTTTCCTTGGGACAGACATTGACGCGTTCGGTTACTGAAGAATGGAGCTGGATGCTGGACCTTCAGCTGGCTGGCTGCGGCCGGCCCGTGTTTCTGTCGCTGCTTGTGGAGTGAGTTGCGCAGTCCAAAGTGGCTGCCGCTCAAAATATGTCTGCTGCTTTTAGGGAAAGGGCTGAAAATGACCCCGTTAGGACACACTTTCCAGCGACCAAAGGGGTCCCCAAACAGGGGCAGCGGACTTCTGCGAGTGCAAGATGGAACAAAGGCCTTAGTGGGGAGCAGGCTACACACCATTACACCAGAAGGGGGGTGTCCTGGGCTACACCCTGACATTGGACTGTAGTAACAATATATATGCCTGAGATAATGCATGTGTCATGATTCATTAATGATGAATTAACATGAGATCAGTATGTAGCTAAGGCTTTCTTTATGGTTAATTGAGGCATAAGTAATAGCCTAATACTATATTTCTGCCCTGTGAAGCACACTGTTACTGAGCTGTCTAGAACCTGTTAGACCCAAGTTCTGGGCTCTGGCTGCCAAAACAAGCACTCACTCCCCCCACAGGCACCTGTCCCCTTCGCTCACGGCCCTCCATGCAGCTGCACCGACAGAGAGGCCAGCAATGCCAGCGACCCATTACTGAAATATTACCACTTGACTGTACTTCAAAGCAGTACATTTACTTACAGTAAACATTATGCAAACTGTGAAGAGTCTTCTAGCCTCCCGTCCAACATTAAGTCCTGCCGTACTATAGTTGAGTTTAAATCTAAATTAAAGACTCACCTTTTTTCCTTTGCTTTCAACTCAGTTTGAGGGTCTCATGAGATTTTTTCAATTCCGCTATTAAGTTACTTTTAATTCATTTAATCACTTATTTTATTATAGTTACCCTCTTACTTCTTTTTAAATATGTTCCTTATTCTATTACATTTACTTTCATTTTGAAATTATTTATTTTAATTATTTTTAAATGTTTTTATTTTCTTATTTCTTGTACAGTATGCATACTTTCATGTTATTTTATTTATATATTTTACTATGTTATTCATCTTTATATATCTTACTGCGTATGTAGTACTTCTTAATCAATTCTCTCTAGACTTGAAAGCAATTTGGGTCAACTTCCATTGTTTTTAAACGTGCTACACAAACAAATGACTTGAATTGACTTGACTTAATCACTTTGTACATTTTAATACCTCATGACCACACCCACAAATAGCTCATAGCCACACCCATTAATACCTCATGACCACACCCATAAATAGCTCATTGTCACACCCTCAAGCATCTCACAGCCAAGCCCATCAGCAGTGCCACACCTGCTGATCATTGATACTGTAATCTGTATACCTTAGTGGTGCAGTTGGCACCCACTTTCTCCAATTACAAATTCTAACATTGAGCTGTCTGGCATGTTGGCAAAGCTCAGTAATGAACTGAGAGGAGTGATTCCTATCAACAACTAACCAATATGTGTGTTGTGTGCATCCCTGTGCTATGAGACACCATGTAAGCACTGCCCACCATAGCACCCCCTTGCATACTATTCAGAGCTAACCATATCACCATGGTAACCTGAGCACCTGCCAGACTGTGAGTCTCCACCAGATGACCCCAGGTCAGTCCTACTGTGGGGCACTGAAAGCTGGGTGAAGGAAGGAGGCGATGCCCAAACAGCAATAGCAATTCACTGTGTAGCTGCATCACACCCACAGACAGACCATAGCTACACCCTCTGTTAGACAAGTGCCACACCCACTCACCGGCCAGAACCACACCCACTCACTGGCCAGAACCACACCCACTCACCGGCCAGAACCACACCCACTCACCGGCCAGAACCACACCCACTGATGGACCAGAGCCACACCCACAGACAGACCATAGCTACACCCTCTGTTAGACAAGTGCCACACCCACTCACCGGCCAGAACCACACCCATTGATGGACCAGAGCCACACCCACAGACAGACCATAGCTACACCCTCTGTTAGACAAGTGCCACACCCACTCACAGGCCAGAACCACACCCACTGATGGACCAGAGCCACACCCACTGATGGACCACAGCCACACCCACTGACTGACCATAGTCACACACACTGACAAGACCTATCAAATTAGATACATTAACATGATCCATTTCACAGCTCAGAACTGCATCCAGATGTCAAGAAGACCCCCAGCAAATAAAAACAAAGCCACACCTACTGACAGTTGAGATCTACACTTACTGATAGACCAGAAGCACTACCGCTGAATAAAGCTCAAGGTGATGCCAAGAAAATGAGTGCAGATCTGCTCTTTGGCCTGCAGACCAAATGCATGAATGGATGAAGATGCATATCTGTGTAAGTGCCATCTGCTAATAGGCCGCAGTTTTCAGAGTGACAGCCCATTTTTCCTTCTTTCTTTATGAATTACCCTGGAAGCAGCATTCACATACCAGGATGCCACCCCTTTCCCATCCCACAAGCCGATGAGACTTACCGACGTGTACAGGTAACCTTCACTGTTCATGGCCAGGTACAGCTTGGTCTGCACACCCTGGATGGCCACCACGCGAAGCCCCACAGGGATGAGGTTGAACATGGCTGTGAGAGAGTTGGAGGGTCCATTGTCAATCCTTGGGCTGGATAACACGACACGGCTGCATAGCACTTATATATTTGAGCACTTAAATATTTGAATGCATATAGACCCGTAACTATGGAAGACCTCACGGCCACAGCTCATTGGCAGCTCATGGCCACACCCATAAATAGCTCATAGCCACACCCATCAACAGCTCACAGCCACACCCATAAATAGCTAATAGCCACACCCATCGACAGCTCACAGCCACACCCATAAATAGCTCACAGCCACACCCATCAACAGCTCACAGCCACACCCATAAATAGCTCATAGCCACACCCATCAACAACTCGCAGCCACACCAATAGCTCATAGCCACACCCATTGACAGCTCACAGCCACACCCGTAAATAGCTCATAGCCACAACCATCCACAGCTCACAGCCACACCCGTAAATAGCTCATAGCCACAACCATCCACAGCTCACAGCCACACCCATCAGTAATTTTTTTACAGCTGGCAATCGGACGGTGTGGTGTCCAATTACGGACCAAACCACATTCACCTAAGAAACTGCAGCCCACTAGAGGGGATATAATAGCAAATACGTATTAATATGTACTGTCTGTATGTCTCTATGTATTGTCTAAATGTATCAATAAAGTTAATAAACTCATTAAGTATATAAGTAATACGCTGTTGTATCCTTGCTTAGACGTTACTTACCTGTATGTGAAGTCTGTTACCCAGTGAGTATAGAATAATAATGGCAGTAATAATGAGGTCAACCCTAACCCTAAGCCAACGCTGCACCAAGCCCAGTACAGCGGACCCACCACAGGACTCTCCCCAGTTCATGTGGGGACTGGGAATCCTTCAGCAGCCCTTGCTGTACACCCACATTTCTTGAAAACCTGCTTCTCTACAATCCCCAAGGACCTGGGAAATGCTGGGAAATCTCTGTGAATATCATGACGGGGGGCTTCAAAATCCTGACCCCCCCTCCCCCCCACCACTTGGCAACATCAACTGAGTGATTGAAAGTGCCACCGCAACCAGGGGGGGCCAGGTGACATTTTCTCAGGGGGCACAGAATGTCTAGCTACTCCCCTGGCTACAAGCAACGCGACCAACAGCATTACTAATAAGTTACACAATATAATTTATATTGTATATGAAAGCAGTAAATAGACATATTCAGTCTGCTGTCTCCAAACATTGCACTACCCAGCATGCCTCGGTAGATAGTATCGCCAAAGAGATTTAGAATTTAGAATTTGGTGATAAGTGGTCATTGTCAACACACCACAGCGCGCAACAATGAAATGTGTCCTCTGCATTTAACCCATATGTGACTTTTTTGTGACATAGCAGGGGGCAGCTAATTCAGCGCCCGGGGAGCAGTGCTTGGGGGTGGTACCTTGCTCAGGGTACCTCAGTGGTGCTTTGCTGGTCAGGGATTCGAACCTGCAATCTTTCAATTACAAGTGCGCTTCCTTAACCATCAAGCCACCACTGATGACGGCCCCACCTCCTGTATCACTGCTTATTTATTTATTCATTTGTTTTTTGATACAGATATCAGTTTTACTTCCTGTGTTTTTTTTTTAACCTCAGCACCTTCATGTCCCCTTGGCACTGTGGTATTCCCCGGGCTGTGGTATTCCCTCAATCTATCACTGCTAACAGAAGATCGCGGCACAATGTGTGTGGAGACGTGGAGACCTGGAGACTTTCCATTTCTTATCTCTGGAAGGTGTTTCCCACTTACAGGTGTGTCATTACAGGCTACATTTGACAGGTCACCACCACAAGTAGGATTTCAAGATTAGATCTGTCACTTCTACCACACACGGATCTGCTGAACAACTGCAACCAGGACAGAAAAACCCATAATTATTAAGGCCCATAATTGTCTAGCTCATATGCCAAATTCTCTTAAAAACCACAGTTTTGACACTTAGAGGGTAGGAATGCTATGGACTTGCTTAAGAAAGTGACATTTAGCCTCTGTTTGTGGAGGACTACTGAGCTAAATTTAACGCTTCACTAGGGTAATAACAGAGAAAGAACCCCCCCTCCCCCACCCAAAAACCAACAGTTAATAAAGGACAGCAAATTCCTTAGCTATGGTCATGTACATAGATAGTCTAATACTAATGTTGCTCTTAAGCAAGCTGCCAGTTAACTATTAATTACGTTATTTTGAAAACAAGAGCCTTCCTGCTTTGGGGAAGAATTTTTGCTGCTAAAACTTTGGAGTTATACCCGTAACACTAACCCTAAGCCTAAAATATTTATCCTAACCCTGACTCTTACCCTCAGCCCCAAACGTAACTCTGACTCTTACCCCTAGTTAAGGTCCATCACAAGCCAATCTGCACGAACAACATGCAGCCAGAATGTGCTTGTTGGTGCCGCATTCCATCCTCTCCCACCTTTGCAGAACATGAAGAGCTCATATAGGACCTGTCGCTATGGAGACAGCAGCTCTTGCTCCTAACAACTCTATTTTGGTAGCAGGATGAAAATCTTTTTTCTTCATCTTATTTTCCAGAAGCTTTTAAATTTCCTCCACAATGTTGTTTTTCTGGAAAAGCCTGCTGTTACATAAGGCCCAGGTCCCTGAGGATTCAGTCAGAGACCTATATGCAAGGCAAATAAATCGGACATTATTAACAAACATTATGGTTATTACAATCGTTGTTTTATTGTGAGATCCTGTTATCCAATCCGTGATGTGGTGACAGTGTATGGTCTACAGATCTAACAGTATATGGTTTATGGATCTAACAATGTATGGTCTGTACAGTATATGGTTTACGGATCTAACAGTGTATGGTCTACAGATATAACCGTATATGGTTTATGGATCTAACAGTGTATAGTCTACAGATCTAACCATATATGGTTTATGGATGTAACAGTGTATCGTCTACAGATTCAACCGTATATGATTTATGGATCTAACAGTGTATGGTCTACAGATCCAACAGTGTATGGTCTACAGATCCAACCGTATATGGTTTACGGATATAAAAGTGTATGGTCTACAGATCTAACCGTATATGGTTTACGCATCTAACAGTGTATGGTCTACAGATCTAACCGTATATGGTTTATGGATCTAACAGTGTATGGTCTACAGATCTAATAGTGTATGGTCTACAGATCTATCCGTATATGGTTTACGCATCTAACAGTGTATGGTCTACAGATCCAACCGTATATGGTTTATGGATCTAACAGTGTATGGTCTACAGATCCAACCGTATATGGTTAAGGATCTAACAGTGTATGGTCTACAGATCTAATAGTGTATGGTCTACAGATNGGATCTAACAGTGTATGGTCTACAGATCCAACCGTATATGGTTAAGGATCTAACAGTGTATGGTCTACAGATCTAATAGTGTATGGTCTACAGATCCAACCGTATATGGTTTACGGATCTAACAGTGTATGGTCTACAGATCTAACTGTATATGGTTTACGGATCTAACAGTGTATGGTCTACGGATCTAACAGTGTATGGTCCACAGATCTAACTGTATATGGTTTACGGATGTAATAGTGTATGGTCTACAGATCTAACCATATATGGTTTACGGATCTAACAGTGTATGGTCTACAGATCTAACAGTGTATGGTCTACAGATCTAATAGTGTATGGTCTACAGATCTAACCCAAAGCTGCTGTGTTGTGTAGGGAGCTAAACCTTGCGGTACCATGCATGAGTGTTTCCTGGCTTTCATGGTTGTTATCTATAGGATAAGGACCCCATGGGTAAGAACTCATCAAGCTAGGTAAGTAGTGTCATGTGACCCTGAGTGCAGCAGAAGTTCAGTTAACGAGCGGAAAAGCATCCTTGTGGTTTAGGGGATAATTAAATCCTCTGGAGTTCATCCCCTGTTCCCAGAGTGCCTCTTACACTTTCCACTTAGCAAGCTACCACCAAGCATTTTCTGACATTCTGTGCTGTGGATCTGTGGATTAGGTCTGCTACCTGCAGAAGTACCCAATCCATGACAGCAGCATTGTTTCTTGGTCATCTGGGTGTCACCAAGGTAAATATAGACAGCCCCGCAGACAATGCTGAAATTGTGCAAAGAGTGTCAGGCTCAGAATGTTGCAGAGAAACACCCGTTAACAGGAGAAACCTGCAGATGTCCCATCCCCTCCATGTGACAAGGTATAAGCAGAGCCTTTTCCTTTGCCAAGCCTTCTAGACAGATATTATTCCAGTCTATGGTCTCTAAGTCCCCTGATGCATGCTGGGAAATGGCCTTTAGGTTATCCGTTGTGTACCACTGCTTACCAAGGTTTAGTTTCTGGGGCAACTATGTCAAGAGTATCCAGTCTCCAACATGCCTAAGGAATTATCTATTAGCACCATTTAAAACATAATATTGCATTTAAGACACTGTTTTCAAAATGGTTATTAAGACCTGTGTTAAATTTTATTTTTATTTTGAATATTAAACAAAGTTGTAATAAGCAGTCGATAGATTACAACCGTTAAATAACACAGATTTTTCAAATACTCAGGCTGAAGTTGAGCATTTCTTTGGGACCACAGTAGCTCCTCGTTCCCTATAACCAACAGCTCACACTGACCTGTTTTTCAAACCTTACGCATGAAAGATACCGTGTGATAGAGGCATGCGATGTAATTTGGCCAATCAGCTCATCCATCTAGTAGGAAGTTATTCTGTTGGTTTGTGAACGTAGCAGAGATCCACATTATTAATCTAAGTTTTATGTGATGTTTGGAAATATTAGTAGGAGGATATAAAAGGTCACGATTCTCATGACAGTAAATTGTGGACGGCTTCAAGATTAATCACGATTTAGAATTGTTAGATCTCCCAGCCCTAACAAGAGGTATATATAAATCAGCATGACAGTAGACAGGACATACACATAACATCATGCTGCCAGGTTTCATTCAGCTGGATGGTCCTCAACTTTGCGTTGAATTATGGGCACAGAAAACCAGCTGCAATTTTTCATGTAGGATTTCATTCAGAGGAGTAAATACAAGCTTTACTTTATCAGATGGAATCTTGTCAAATGATAAAAGGACAATTTCCTTGACAACGAAGATGTGAAAGCTTAAGATCTGAGATATAATCAGGAACTGAGAATGAAGGGCTCAGTTTGTGAGTAGAGAGAAGGCAGTGTGGACAGCATCTTATTAGAAAAACAGTCAAAGGTTCTTTCGGTGGATTTGGAGACTGTATCTGATTATTTTTGAGTTTAAGTGTAGGTGGAGCATGTAGCTCTGTGGGTAACACTGCTGTCTCACAGTCACCTGCTGTGGGCGTCCTCTGAACACTGCAACAATCCAAAGACGTGCAATTACGGTCAATTTTTTTTTCTAAATTCCCTGAAATATGTGATTGTGTGTGTATGGCCTGCAATGGACTAGCATCACATTAAGGGTATTCCCATTAAGATAGGATGCAGCACCCCCATCGTGACACTATACTAGGTAAATGGTTGGAAAATGGCTGATTGGATGAATACAGGAACATATGGGGGGGGGTATAGTGGCACTGGCCCCAGCAGGAAGATGATTGGCCCCCTCCTTGTGACTCACTGATTCAAAACATATCATTAGTTAATGATAAGTTTGGTCCCTCAGTATGATATAAGGCCCCTCTTGTGCCCCATACCTTAAAATATCTTGAAATTGCCCCTGGAAGGATAGATGGGAAAGGGTCTGCAGTCAGCTTAACCTGATGGTTCGGCACCAGATCTAATGGGGAGATTGTGCTTAGGATTCAGTTCGGGCCCTGGTATCATTCACAGAACAGGGAGAGGACAAATATGGCTTAATTCTGTGATGGGATTAGGCCATTACAGAAGGTGAATGGGTTAGTCTGGGACCAAACAATATCATCACAGCGTTGTTGGTACTCAAGAAAGGTTAAGACAAAAAAGCTATATATAACCAGAGCAATGGGGTGAATGCATAGATCTGGGGATGTGGAAAGGACCTGGAAAAGGCTGCAGCTACAGTGAGGAGTGGGAGGTGAGACAAGGCAGCCCTGGGCCTCCCTGAGGGAGAATCACGCTCCTGAGACTTACTGTAGCCATTGTCCTCTTCCTTCGTCCCATCAATGGTTCCATCTGCTTGGAGCTGCAGGTGGAAACCCTGCCGGCTGTACAACTTTGTCACAATGCCCTTAAGTTGGGGCTCTGTGGAGACAGGAGAAGGCATCGGGGTAAGAAGAGACAAGGGACATCAAAGCAAGGGAAGCCAGGAAGAGCGCGTCTTTCTCCAAACGCCAGCAGGTGGCAGCAGCATTCCAAAGCGGGCTTCACCTACACAGAAACATCAAAGACAGATCAGAACTTAAAATGCTGTATCAATCGACCCGAATCATAATCTGCTCCTTTAGATGGACCCGCTCTTCTATTAACACTGAATAATGTCTCTTCCAAATACAGGCAGAGAATTCCCCTTAACAAGCTCTAAATTACACTATCCACACTCAAGGTATCTGCCCATGCAGCTAAGAAGACCAGCGGCCTAATTAATAAAAAAGGAAAAAAGCTAAAAGCACGAAAAAAGATCCGACTGTTACCAAGTCATAGTAATGAAGACCCAGTGAGAGTGCTGCGTCCATGCACATGTTCCTGGTGCTGAAACTGTGTCCTCCTCCATGCTTTCATCTTCTCTTTCATCTTCCCATTCCCTCAAGCCTCACTTGACCTGTCTAGATAACCTTTTATCTTTTTAGTCTTTTCTATCCCCTAGATTCCAGTTTTAAACCTTTCAAGCTGGAGTAGTAGGGGGATCGCTGGTGTTTTGAGGGCTGGATGGAGGCCGACGCCCCTTTCAAATGGCAGCTTTTTATTTCCATCACAAAGGTGGAAACAGGGAGCGAATCGCAAGGCAGTGACACACAGACACTCCTCATCCCAAATGCTTTCCATAATCACTCTGAACAAACCACACGCATTACAGGACCTTTCCCTCCCTGTCAGAGTGGCTGAGGAGCACAGAGCGGATATACGCGATTACTGGAAGGCCCCCCGATATCTCCTTCACTCCCCACCAGCAAAAGAACACATCAGCATTCATTAATCAGCAGTCCATCAGTCTCTTACCAAGAGTCCATCTTCAGTGGGTTAGTAAAATGGAGTAGGAGAGAGTTTGTATTTTGGTGGAACAAAACATAATCATTTAAATACAAAGATCTATTTATTGGGAGGGATAAATTAATCCAAAATAAATATTGGGGGATACACGCCCCCCCTGCGGGTTCCTACACCCTTGGGTAAATGGGCTGTGTTGAGTTCGCGGGCAGCCATGAGGTGGCCTCGCTAACGAGCCCTGAGGCGACAGCTGTACCCTCATTCTTTATTTGCCACAGAGTTGCGAATTCCACTGCTGAATGGATTCAGGTCAACAGCCTCCTCCAAGGTTATTCTATTCCAGGGATTTATACCTATAACCATCTAGAAAGTAACCCAGCGCTCATGCCATGAAGGCAGAAGCATAAGCAACTACACCTGTCAATCAGGGTCATACCAGCAACACCCACAAAGGCATAAACGACTTCATCCACCAATCAGGGTTATTGTAGCAACACCCACAAAGGCATAAACGACTTCATCCACCAATCAGGGTTATTGTAGCAACACTCACAAAGGAATAAATAACTGCACCCAAAAAAAGCAGGACTATTGTATTACAAGACACAATCACGCTAAAGTTAATTTAATTGTAATTTACAATAATTTATGTTGACTTAACTATCAGCACATTAAGCAGACTTCCAGACTTCTTTATTATTAGAATATCCCATGGAACTGCGCAGTGTAAACATCCAAGCAGAGCCTTTAGCACAAAAACAAGTTATGAGAAATAAGTCATGTAAGAGAGCTGCCAATTGATATATGTAATACAATGCTCTAAATGTTTTGTTTGACTCCTTATTACCTTGCTTTATTACCAAGTGGACCAGTATTCCTATTCATAGCCAGGCAATACTGAAGAGATGATTAACAACAAATATTTATCCTGAGTCTTTATAGCCTAATAAGTCGTAAAACAATGAATGAATACCAAGAACGCTGTACAGCCATAAAATGCAAATGAAACACTAGAGTAAAAGAACAGAATTCCTAAACTCATTTCATTTTGGATGACATTTAATATGTATATGTACTTAAAGTGCCGCAAGCTCCTCTCGCTTATTAGCGATTCCCCATTGTCGGACCTGTAGAGAGGGTAAACTGATCTTGCTTAGAAATAAACACCGCACGCAAGTAATGAGCTGCTCAGTCGGTAACAACAGCGACCATCAAGAGGAAAACACGGCAGGCAGCATCAGACCTGGTCGTCTCCGTCTTCGCTTCTTAGATCCGAAGAGTTTGACCCGAGAGAAGATGCCGAGCACGCCGGGCTTGTCGCACGCCGCCTTGCCATTACTCGGGCTGCTCCCGCAGCGCCGGACGGCCGACTTCTCCCGCTGCCGTGCCAGGCGCTTCTGCCGGATCAGAGAGCTGGCGATCGCTGCGGCCATCGCCAGCTTGGCGCTTCACGGATGGACTTTTAGATGAATGAAAAACTTAATTCCCGTACCAACAAATCAATTATTCATACAAAAGTGAAAATCCTCCGTAATCCACATGCACAGGGCAGTCATCGTTTCTATTGCCTCACAAGTAAATACGGGGAGTGGATCAGGCGTTACAGGTATTTCCTTGTAAGCTTTAAGTGTCTTATCCAGTTTCAGCTTCACGGAGCATTTCTCCCCCAGTATAAAAGAAAGTCTCCAGCGAAATGCCTCCAGTCTGCAGGAAAGGCGACATGTGGCTGTCTGAGCCTCGTCTGCTGCGTGTCTGTCAGCGCCCAGCGGAGGGGTCGTTTCACAGCAAAGAAAAGACTGGAAAAGGAGCGGCGACCCCCAACCGCTTCATTCAAAATACTAACGCCGGGCAAGATTCTTCCTCTGTTACTTATCGAAGTAATAACCTTATAATTCAGCATTTGCCCTCAGTGTGAGGGACTCTCAGTCTAAGCACAGTTACAAAACTTAATAACATATACCAAGCATACAAAACGAGACGTATGGCTTTCGGGGTTCATGGAACATGAATAATAATCAGTTAGTAAAGTATCTAAATGTGCAGAAACAGCCGCCCCGCCGCCGCTGTTACTGAATTAAAAACCTGCTCCGGCTTCCCCGCTGGAGATCCGGAGGCTTTCCCGGCCGCGTACCTGCGGTGTCCCCGCAGACAGCCTTCGCATACAATCGGAGATATTTCCGTGGCTCCGGGCTAGTAAGTGACTGGCACCCAAAGGTGGATGCAATTACTCACAGTCTCAGTGCTGGCACATGCTTCACAGTTAGTCTTCTCACATGCAGATCTAAACTGCAAAAGCTCCTGTAAGGCTGTAGAAACGAGCCCTGAAGGATCTATAAGGAAAATAGCGTCAGACCGCAGCGTTGTCATCACAGGTCTCTGTTCCCAGAGCAGGACAGGCATCAGCATGACCTAGTGCTGCGCGCAGGGCAGCCTTACCTATGGGATTCGACTCAAGAAGCCCCGAACTTGACTCGAATATAACAAGAACATAAGCCATATCTTTTCCAAGTGCAATCGATTGCTCTTTAGTGTATTTAGTGTTTCAATACAATGTAAACTGACGGAAGACAATATCCACGGAAAATGCTCACAATCCTATCATACCTGTCAAGTTTTGGATTTGAAAATAAGGGAAATTTTCCGGCACCCGCCGCGAGCCACCCCACCACCCCAACCAAGCTCCAGTATCCCTTACATTTTAAGACAGGTGTACAAGAAATCTAAAATAACCACTTGTCATTTACATTTTATTTTCATTACACATTTTCTTTTAATTTCTCATGTTCACTCATGTGGCTCTCTGGCATTCACTAATGACTTATTATACAGATTTGTTGCAGACTTTGTATCCTTGTTGAAGTCGTCACAGAAGGTGAAAGTAACGTTGTTTTTGGCACACAGCATTGCCATTTTAACCTCCGCATTTATTACCTGGTTAATGTTGTAAATGACCTGCAGACTACTGCAGGTGGCAGTTCTCGCGAGGCTACTGGCAGTTCAGTTTGGAGAGGCAGAGGATTTAAAAAAAAAAATGATATTATAATACGGGAGATTTACGGGAAAATACTAATACGGGAGCACGGCGGGAAAGAGGGGTAAAATACGGTAGTTTCCCGGCCAAAACGGGAAACTTGACAGCTATGAATCCTATAGGCTACTTGATTACCTTGATATACTAGAGTAGATGATACACCAAATTTAGGGATGGCCCCACACTGTGAGAGAGAAGCAACACACGCACAAGAGACATAAAAGAGAGGTTAGATGTCTCATGTTGAACATATTGGTGTAAGACTTTACCTCGTTCAGTTAAGAAGTTAAGCATTGACATATGAACAGAGAGCACAAGGGAAAATGGCGGTTCGATAAAACTGACGGGTTTAATGCCGTGGTACGGGGCGCAGTATTATTGTGGGAAGTAATTGCTTGCAAATATTTCAAAAACTTAGTCCAGTTCGCCTATAACGTTTTACCCAATGCTTTAAGGATGCCTTGCCAGCTAATACTACACTAATCACAGTCAAGACGTCCAACGACCGCAGTCCACCCTGTAACTGGCATCCTGAAGTGTTTTTCAGAGAAGGAAGAGGAACTACATGCGGCATGAGTGACAGCTTATTTTCTATTATACAGCCATTAAGCGCATCCAAGTTCGGTGGGTAGACGGCGCCAAAGCCGTACTGTTCATCGGTGCCAAGTGGAAGCAAATGGTGCCACCTACAGTTATAAATTATGTAAAATCAATGGGTAATCAGAAATAATTTGCGCCAGGTGCATATGAAGCAAAGTAAGGACTACTTATTCAGCACCGATTTAACGTACTATCTTTACTGTACATAATGGAATTTGGTCTAATCCCTCCTCATTTTGTTATTATATTTTACCCTGATTAGCCTATGTAATGCAATCATTAAATCAGAAGTCACCGCCCAGATCGATTACCCTTATGGCAGTTACCATTAATATAGACAGTGCAGGTTATGTTGAGACGGACGTCTACGTAATTTTATCATTTTTGACTTTCTCTGAAAAATAAAACAATAGGAAAATATTTAAAAAATTATATCGAATTTATATTGAAAACAGACGTTCGATTCAGTAAATTATTTTGAGTATATCACTAGTATTTATCTCTACCAGTAGTGTTAGTAAAGCAATTAGATAAATAGTAAACCAAGTGTATAAATAGTAAATACTTAGTCTTTATTACTCCAAATATAAATATACTGAGGTATGCTATATGATTATGAACAATCAGGAGATCAGGGCTTCTGTATATATTACATAAAAAGGATAGTTAGCGCACGTTAATAAGTTCAGCACCTCGGACAGCGGCCAAACGGCTCAGTATTGAATTCGGTCCACTATGCTGATACGACCTGTCCATAAAGAAGCTTTTTCATATTTACTAATATTTAAAATTAATTTAATTTTGATTATTCATAATTATAATTCGTAACGTTGACACAATTTGCCACAAACATTTTTACAGTATGACTAGAGTCCAATGTTTAGAAAGAAGAAAGATCAGATTCAAGCGTACCTGAAACGGATTTCCTTAAGGGGAAAGTCATGCTTTTCTGGAGGGGAGTGAAAACAATCCGCCGTAAAGCTTCCTCCGTCCGCGGAGCGCGCAGTGAAAGGAAGAGGGTGCCACCACCGTCAAGCCATATTCAAACAATCCTCAAAGGCATTGTCGAGAAACCATCAATCCCACCACAGTGCCGTCCCAAGATCATTAATGGACTTTAGTGACAGGCCTTCATGACTTTTAAATGCGCATTAATGATGCATTAGGAAGCAGAGTTGATCCGGAAAACAGCAATAGGGCGTTTTTGAAACTGCTTTGTTCTTACTCAAAAAAAAGTAATCGAGGCTAGGCACTAAAATGCCCATTGCAGTGTCAAGACGAGAATACTCGGGTTACAAAAACGGCTGTAACATGAGCTCCCTAATGCGTCTATTACGCCGGTTATACAGGCCTTTCCACTTTGGAGGAAAACGCCTCAACACCCATCGATACACATCACATTGGAAACTAGATAATCGCATATAGCATCTGCAAGCCTTCACCTTAGACTTCACGCTAACTAATTCCCGTTTCACAGACTGTCACATATTTATGAGAAGGATGCCTTGTATTGTTAAAAGCCTTTGTTGAATATTAATTTGTTGAAGATGAATTATGATTGACCAAAGGACAGGAGACATACATACAATAATAATCATAAACCAATATTTTATACTGAATTTATTCCCTAATTGCCTACTAATGTGATTTTTTTCATGAAACATTTATTTGAATCAAAGATTTAATGCTTAATAAAGTTGACGCGTTTAGCCTTTTCACTCGTTTGTTCACATCTTAAAACAAGCCTGGATCACTTGTGAAAAGACATCTGTATGTTTAATCAAGAAAGCAAAGAGAAAGCACTTCATACTGTTACTTCTGTTATAAGTAACCCATACAAAAAAGAAATCAAAATGACCGATGACGACGTCTCCATCTTCTACCACTAGATGGGGCTACACGGCAGTGTATGACTGTTGATGATACTCCTCTACAGGGAATTCGTTTTCCGAAATGTATCAATGGTGTGGCTCAAAGGAAAGTCAACTCCTGAAGACAGAGGTACAATGGGAAGCCATGCAAAGCTTCCTGGGACTGGAATGGGTCTGCAGAAGGACGTCATATTTATAAATAAATGTATCTGTGTAGTGCACCCCAACCACCATATAAATATATTCTTTGTGCCTCTAAATGTAGGGCTGCTCGATACATGCAATCAGAGCTTTACCATAATCTGATAAAAGAGGCATCGCACCCTCACCGCACACCCCACCCTCACCGCACACCCCACCCTCACCGCACACCACACCCTCACCGCACACCCC